TTTTATCGATCACTTTATATTCTACCGTTTTCTATTTACTTTGTCCAAAATGCTGAGGGTGTGATTATACTTCGCATAGGCGTTTCAGCGTATGACAACATTTTGAGCGCTTTGAACGACTGGAAAAGTATAGGTATCAATCTAGCGTTTTACGCGTAAGCCAGCGTTTCCAGCGATCGCCCGCGAAAAGTTTAAAACTACCCGCGAAACGCTCAAAACATTGGATCGATATCTGTACTTTTCCAGTCGCTCAAAACGCTGCTGTACCTTCGAAACGCTGGCGCTAGTATGAACGCAGCCTAGTGCTTGTAGAGTGAGTACTCATTTATTTGTTTACTTATTTGACGCACTCGCGGGTAAGCTGCTACGTCTGCTAATTACAAGCGCAGTAGCATGTAAAACAAACACATCTGAAGTTCCCATAGGAAATTACTGTGATAGGCAGGGGATTTCTAGTCTGGGCGTGAAGAATACGCCTACATATTACAGGTACAGTCCAGGTTTAAGGGAAAGAAGTTGCAAGCGCAGCGATGGTGGTGACGGTCCAGACGGAGGAGATGCGTAGTGTATCTTGCTGGAATAGGCGGAATCGGCATGAGCATAAGCAGCCCTTGTGGGGGCGCTCATTATTGCCCTTTTGGTTGTACAGAGCACCGTGGAGGAGCTCCAGGTAGGTGAAGGATTCACTGACAGAAGCCCCTTGACCGAAACTCAGTGTGAAAGCTTCATAGGGATGGTGTAGAGGAAAGTGACTTGCCCAATTATCAGATGCCTTCCCCAAGTCACATTTTACAGTTTCGTCTGTGCAGCGCTCCCTCGTCAACGGCAGAGGTTCAATCTCCGAATGTATGTCATGCTGGCGGCAATGCTGGATCCATTTCTGAACATATTCCTGATCTTGAGTTGGATTCGCAGGTACTGGGTGCCGGTTTAGTTCTGAAAAGTTGTAATTATTTTTCCGTTTGTAGGGCAGCGTATCCAAGGGTCGTGTTCGAAAGAGAAGGGATCGTCCACTTAGTTGTGGGTTTTTCAAGATGTTATATGCACTTGACTTTATTTAAGTATTGCTTGATTCAGTGACAAAAAGTGGTGTGGCTAGAAAAGGACGGAAGACGTACACAGAGAGGGATCTGGTGAGTCGGTACTAATACTCTTTTATGGACATGTATTTTGCGAAAGAGGCTCCCGCCCAAGCCAGCAAAGCTTTCTACCCTATAAAGACGGTAAATTGGTACCAGATTCGTCTGGGAGGATAAGAACACTGACATCGGCTGGCCCCCGCAAGTCATTGTATAGGCCACATCGCATTCAATAAGCCACTACGATTCTGAATGGAAGTAGAATGCGTGCCGCATCCCACAAAGGGATTGATCAACGGCGAAGACTTTATCCTTTATTATCCTTTATTTTTGCGAATGTGGAGAATCTGCCGGAGAATAGTGGCTTATTGAATGCGGTGTGGCCTATACAATGACTGGCCGGGGCCTGCCGATGTACAAGTTTTTTTTACTACACTAGCTATTGACTGATCAAGCAATCACCAGTGAAAATCGGTCACTCGACAAGGAAGAGCGGAGCGAATTAGTTCTCATGGAATCAATTGTCGTCGTCTATAGACTCCCAACCTTCCCCACCCCCACCCCGATAATGATTCTGTGCTGAGGAAAATTACTGCAGATATGTCCCTTCTGCTCACCCATGTTACTTGACCGGTCTAATATTGATGCTTGGCCATCTGTTTTCGGTCACTTCAGTTGATTTTAGAGTTTCATATTAGTCTTTTTTAGCAAGTTCTTGAAGAATTCTATACACGCGATCCATTCGCGTGTGCTAATGCGGATAAACGTCAAACACTTTGTCACATGTTGGATATCGACCCATATCGGGTGAGTGTTTTCGGAGCACTGCTTTTACAGTGTCACTACACGTATGCTACCGTATGGAGGGGCCAAATTACCCTTTTCGGTTGGCGAATATTGCCGTGATGTTCAAAATTAGCATTTTAAAGTGTCGATCTGGGCTATTCTTTTGAAGGACGTGCGGGGAGTTGAATTTCCGGACTGTTCAATTATAGTTGTTCTGTTTCTCACAGTGCAGGCCAGACTTCGATGGAAATATTTCTCAATGAGTCGATTTGATGAGGTTTCATGGGGCAGTTGTACCCCCTCCTTCACCCCCTGATCTGTCGCACCTGTCCGGCTTAAAACCGCTTCGTGCCCACGCCACAGGTGCCTGAGGCCTCAAAACACCTAGTCTCGGCCCAAGAGATAGTTTGGCACCCTGGGCACAATAGTCACATTTGCTTGGTGCAAAAACAATTGCTACACACCTAAGGGCGCCGTCACCAAATATGGTCCTGTGCGCAGGGCCGTGTCATCTGACATTTTGGCTTTAGAAAAACCCCTTACTATTAGTGTGGTTCTTGTGTGGTTCAGGGGAATGGTTCCGTAGCTGCAGTAGCGTTCCGTATCCTCCGGGAGGGTGGTGAGGAAACGGTCAAGACAATCGTAATCTGCCGCTCCGCGCGCGCCGGCGTTTTTTAATTTGCATGATCTGTCGCATTGGAGCGCCGAGTTTTAGTTTTAAGTTTTAGTTCTAGTTTAGTGTAGACCTTGACTAATTTCGGCTATGCATTGTCCATTGCCGCAATTTACGACTCAGAAACAGCGTCACTTGCGAGCGTGACGTCGCGCTCGACGTCCACCAGTGCGCGAAGTTACGATTGTCTCGTCACATACCCGGGTAGTGTGGACTCGAGTGCGGTCTCCATACTCTGCCTGCGCTATCCTCAAGTTTTAGCACTCACGTCGATACCAAGGTCCCGCAACGAAGCAAGGATTAGGTTGTCCGGAAACTTCTCAGCGTTTTGTGTTACTATTTTTTGTACATTCATTGCTGTTATTAAAAAACTGCACTCCCCTTACGTCTCATTGAGTACAATCCTGGCACAAGAAATTTTTGCGCTATCTGTGTATAATTTGCCGTTCAGCGCCCTCCATCGCCTTTGATAAACCCCCTTTTCCCAAGACTTTAAGCATGTCAAAAGAGCAACTTGGACGATATTTTTCTTCAACTACAAAATTGGGTCAATCCGCAGTCGAGACAGCTCGACAAATTAACCAGGTGTGGGGGCCAATAGTGTTGGAGAAAGCACGTCGACCAAATGGTTCGACAAACTTCGCTCTGCGCAGATTTCTAGCCTCAAAAAGAACCTCGTAGCGGTCGATCCATAGCAATACTGACGAGATTTTGAAGGCGTGGAGGCTGACTATCCCAAGACGACTTCGAGAGTTGCAAATATAGCTAGGTTGTTGGCAAATCCAGTGTTGCGGATGGTCTGAAACGCATTGGGAAGGTGAGAAAAGTCGACAAGTGGGTGCCCCACAATTTGAGTGACGCAGAAATTGGGCGTCCTCGAGTTTTCAGTCTTCACTGCTTGTGGAAACAGAAACGACCCGTTTTGGAACCGAAGGGTCACTATTATGAGAAGTGGATTATCAGCGAGACGTTCCGGACAGTGGTTGATGCCGATGAATCACCGAGGCAATTTCCAAAGCCGAGTCCTCACGAAAAAAAGATTATGGTCGTAGTGTGGTGGTCATCGGCTGATGTGATCCACTATAACTTATTGTGTCGAGAGTGCGCGAGAAATCATCACAGCAGAGTCCTACTGTGAAGAGAAGAAATCGACGAAGTGTACCGACAGTTGCGTGCTGCAGCCAGCACTTGTCAACAGAAAGGGTCCGATTCTTTTGCATGACAATGCCCGCCCACACGTTCCACAAATCACATCTATAGTTGAACGAATTGGAGTTAAAGTTCTACCTCACCCGCCATATTCTCCAGACCTTTCGCCAACTACTATCACCTTTTCTAACATTTTCAGAACTCCCTTGCTGGAAAATACTTCATCAATCAGGACCAGGCAAAAAAGCCTTCGTGGATTTCGTGGATTCTCCCTGTTTTTTTTTCTTTGTCGTGGGGTGCGTCGACTGATTCACATGAAAAGTGTGGTGTTCGAACGGTGTTATTTCGATTAAATCCGTAAATGTTAAAAAAGTTATGATCGTTTAAAGTGAAACACGCAAAACGCTGAGAACTTTTCGGACAACCTAATATTTAGCGCTTGAGAACAACTAGAAGTGAGAGAGCACAGACAAGCAGCGCGTTTAGCTATGGCTAGGCGCCTGGCAGACCGCGAGGCGAAGTATGGAGTGGCACGGAAGTTATTGCTACCCCCTTTCAGTCTGTACTTTTTTGATCCGGACAATGTGACTAACTGCAGCTCGAAACCATTTCCCCCCCCCCCACATCAGCCAGCAAGGACAGGATCGACGGGTGGTGAGTGTCATTTTGTCTTCAGGGGATGGGATATGTGTATTCAGGCGGTTAGGTCAGAACACTCAAATTCACAAATATGATCAAGTTATGTGGTCCGTTATGAGGATAAGCACGGTCATGGATCTCTCGCTACCGATAAGGCGTGTGGCTGGGCGTGGATTGGGGCACTGCCCAGGATACCTTCTCCACCAATGATGTCATCCCTACTCCGCAATAATTGACGGGAAACCCTGTCCTAGTTGCGCTCCAACTCACGCTCCATCTAACACCCTATCGTTGGTGGGCATCGTGACTCTACATAGGTCCTTATATTTAACTGTCAAATTGTAAACTTTCAGCTCAAGGTCTGGTTCCAAAATCGGCGGCGGAAAGACAAACTGAGCTACGAGAGCCAAAACTCGAAAGAGCATGCTTGAAGGAATGAAGCGCTGCTGTCAAGACGGGTCCACTGGTGGAGCTCATGATAATGCTGTCCTTATATGTGTGTTGTGTGTGCGTTATTTCACAAAGGCACCAAAGCAGAAGAACCTGTCGCACCCACGTCTTAACTGGGTGCATAATCTCTGAAGGCGCTGTGTTATTTGTTGAGTTTTAATTGCTTAATTTTGAAATATTTGTAGCGGTTTATCCGCTCTTGCCCTGAGTGTTGAGATGTAACTTCACTCTCTTATCCCCCGTACCTGAATAGAACCACAGCTGCAGGTACCAAAACTGAGTATATTGATCGGTAGCCGATCGATGGATTGTCCATAGAGTTCTAGTCCTCACTAGTTTAATCACTGTGCATACTGAACCGCTAACCTCGAGATGGTAAAGGTCGTGTTGGGAGTTATAGTCCGCTGAATTACATTTCAGAATCCCCAAAAGAGTATACGTTATTGGATTGTTTGTTATTCGATGGTCAATCCTAACAAAAGGCGAAAGGGAACAGCGGCCTGGCTGCAGAGTCGTCATGCTGCAAGGCGCGGCATTGTGGTGACAGTGACAGGTCGTCTCACCAGCGACGGTGGACACACTTATGCCAACCTATGCCACTTTTCAATCAATTAGTCCGGCGAAACTAAGATCAGCATATACAATCATTTATATGTATCAGAGATCTAAATAAAACTTATTTTCATATTACTCAGTTTTTCCTCATCCAAAATCCAAAAGAAGCATCATTCTAGACCAAAGGAAGCTATCTGTGATCCAAAATAGCATCCTACCAGGCTTTCCTCATGGTCTGCCAATGCGCTGTCAGGCTTTTAACACTTTGCGAGGGAGAGCAGAAAATCGCGTCAAAAGAAAGTATGAGTATCGATCTGGAGGTATGCGAAAAAGAGGACGGCTAGGAGAATTGACTTGTGTCCATGATTCCTTTGCGCGCTCTTACCAGAGTCGCAAACTATAAACTCGACCCTACTTTCAGTAGTACAAAGTTCATTGCCATTGGGTGTGTGGCGATAGCGCTGGTCAGTGGGAGCCTTTCGTCTCTTGGCCGTTGTGACCTCTCCCGGTGCTGTCGCGTGCGCACCCTTAAGTAGAACCGCGTAACATTCTGCGACTGCATGTTAGCAGTGGGGCACGAGCCTGATTTTTTTACGCTTGTTGAACTAGAAGGGAGGAAGTGCTCGCAACCGTTGAAGGAGCCCCAAATGAGGCTCCAGTTTGGGACGATGTTTGAAGAACGAGATACTCTGTGCGCGGATCACCAGCAAAGGAGAGGGAACAAAGAGATGATCCAAACAATGTTCCCATACAGATATGACACGGTCCCTCGAAAATACGAATGTGGTAACATTCCAAAACGTCTGTGGTACCGGTGCGGTGCTACCGCTGGGACATCTGGGAACTAGATGGGTGGAGCAACTTTCATGGGTGGCACTTCTTCAGCTACTTGACAGCTTTAGCGCCCTTTCTGAAGCGCGAAGCTGTGTGATAGTCTCCGAGATTGCGGGCTGGACGTTGTAGAAAAGAAAGGAATTTCGTCAAGTTATCGCGGCACGCAGACAGCGATGATAGTATTTGTGGGAGCTTCATACTCAGCGGGCGTCCTCAGGCATAGTGAGCAAGGGC